CTAGCAAACCTGGGTTTCAATTTCTTCTTCTTGTCTGGGAAAGAATTGAAAGGAAGAGTTCCTGCGCTTCAGATCGACCCACAGAGGAATGGTGAATGCTCGTATCGCAGAGGAGAGGGCTAACTTCCAAGTTTCTTGGAGTGAGTACGAGGATAGATGGACATCTAGATTTGGTACTATGTAAGAGTTTAAGCTTTTGTCCTTATTGGTGCTACCTTTCCTTTTCATTGGATTTAGTGTTTCTTGTATTATTCCTTACTTTCGGGGTTAGGTCAGGTCCCCCGAACGTGTTTTGAACGTTTACTTTCGGAGCTTTGGTCTAGTCCTCTCCGAATGTGTACTAAAATAGTTTATTTAATAATACTTGGTAAGGGCTGCCTAGACCTTACCCCACCGCAATTGGTGGATTTTTCGGGTTAATATATATATATATATATATATATATATATATATATATATATATATATATATATATATATATATATATATATATATACACACATATATATACATACATATATATATATATATATATAATGTTTTTGAACCACTGGTTCGACCAGTGAACCAGTAAACTAGTACCTTGACCGGTTCAATCGCTGGTCCAATTCTGAAAATTATGGCTAATGATGCACATTTACAAATCATAGGAAGTGTTGATGCAATAAACTCCAAAATGCTTATTGAAGAAGGCCTTAACCTATAAAATTGGTTAAAATTCGACGCCATTATTCCTTACATGACGAGCTCGCCGCGCACTTGGTCCTAATAGGCTAATAGTCCCCTAATACTGTACCAAATCGACATTTAACCTTTCCCCACAAATTTAAATTATACGGAGCATAATATCAATATGGTCCGACAATTTCCAAAAACCTTGGATAATTGAATAATTATGCCTAAAAAATAATTGTAGGTCTTAAGTAGTTCAGTTCACTTGCTCTACTTTACTCTACAGTTTATTTATGAAATGGAATATATATATATATATATATATATATATATATATATATATATATATATATATATATATATATATATATATATATATATATATAGAATGGGGAAAGGAAATTACAACATGCCAGGATAAGGAATGCTCAAAACGAACAAGCTGAAAGTCTAAAAAACATCAAAAATTTTCCTTCCATTTCTCCAAAACATATCAATCCCCCAACCTTTGAAGTCTTCATCCTTGACGAGCCATTTCTTGTTTCTATTAACCCAACACCATCCCTGCACCAGTTTGAAGCATTGTTGGATTAGTGAAGCTGTGGTGGCTGATTTCCCTTCATGGATGGATGTGTTACGAGCTTTCCAAAGGACCCAAGAGATGATTCCAGGGAGGATGAGTCTGAGGTTTCCTTTGAAGCTTCGGTTGTTCCCACTTAGCCACTAGGCAATCAAGTGTTGACGTAGTTGGTTGCCAATGCGTCGTGGTGGAACTGAAGAAATGTGTCTAAAATATTCCCAAACTTTGGCACTGCATGGACAATGAAGTAATACGTGGTCTAGGGAGTCCACTCCAGCCTGGCATAAGTTGCATCTGCTTGTGAGAGCAAGGTTGAAGCGTCTTAGGTTGGCAGGGAAAGGGAAAGATTTGTTAAGACATTTCCAAAGGAAAATCTTGATTTTGGGGATTTGTGTCTTGTGCCAGATGAACTTGTTGGTGATAGAGGATGGTAAACCTTCCTCTCCAATTTTATAGGCACTGCCAAGACTGAAAGAACCTCCTGACCAAGTCGCTCCTCCTCCCGAGATGTTACTATGAGCTGACCCTATGGCGTGAACCCTGCAGATCCTCTTCCATGATGGAGAATCAATTATTTTCTCTTTTATGGATCCAGACCTCATATATTTTGCTCTGACAAAGGGACCCCATATACTCTGATCGTTTTGTGCTTTCCACCATAGCTTCAATGAATATGCTTGTTGTATTTTCTCAAGGTTTCGAATGCCAAGACCTCCAGCCTGCTTAGGGTGGCAGATTTGGTTCAAGTTTTTCCAGTGGTACTTTGGTCTCCCATTCTTTTGCCCCTAGAGGAAGTTAGCCATTAAAGAGTGAAGGGAATTGGAAATGGATTTGGGAATGGTTTGCACAGCCAGAATATGAAGGGGAATGGAAGAGAGGACGTGCTTGATGAGAATCAGTCTGCCCATTTGGTTGAGTGTTTTGCTATACCAGGAATGCAAATGCTTGTGAAAGTGTTCCACGAGTCTTGATCAGTCTTCCTTTTTTGGCTTGCCCCTGTTGATTGTTGCTCCCAGATATAAAAAAGGGAGATCTCCATGCTTCATGCTAAGTGCTTTCTCTATATTTTGGATTTGAGTGGACTGAGTCTTTCTAGAGGTGTAGAATCTGCTTTTAGAGAAGTTGATCTCTTGCCCTGAAGCTTGCAAGTATTCTCCAAGAATGTGTTTAAGTTTAAGGAGATTCCTCGTGTCTCCTTTGGTGAAAATCATTAGGTCATCGGCGTAGATGAGATGGCTAGTGAATTTGACACTACCTGCATTAAATCTTTGGAAGTGGTTAGTGTCAACATAGTGATTGAGCAGCCTACTGAATCCTTCACCTGCAATGATATAAAGGAGAGGGGAGAGTGGGTCTCCTTGTTTAACTCCTCTGGACATTTTAAAGAATCCACATGGTTCTCCATTGATGAGAATGCT